TGTATATATTTATATATATATATATATATATATATATATGTATATGTGTGTATGTATATGTGTACAGCACTCTATTCGTTCAGCAATTTCTTTCTGTGTCTTACCCTCTTGCTTGAGGGTGTCAATGATGGCCTTCTGGACAGCAGTCAGGTCGGCAGTCTTACCCATGATTGTTGTTTTGAGTAATGAACAAGGCTGGGAGTTTTTAAAAGCCTCAGGAATCTTTTGCAGGTGTTTAGAGTTACGTCGTTGATTCAGATGGTTAGGTTAATAGCTTGTTTAGAGAGCCTTTTCATGATTAACTAATTTTTTTGGACAGGTATTTTGGGTTTTCATGAGCTGTATGCCATAATCATCAGTATTAAAACAATTAAAGACCTGAAATATTTCAGTTGTTGTGCAATGAATCTGAAATATATGAAAGTTTCATTTTTATCATTAAATTATGGAAAATAATGACCTTTATCACAATATGCTAATTTTTTTATAAGGACATGTATATGTGTGTGTGTGTGTGTGTGTGTGTGTGTGTGTGTGTGTGTGTGTGTATTTATGTATATATATATGTGTGCGTGTGTGTGTGTGTGTGTGTGTGTATGTATGTGTATATATCTCGTCTACCGCCCACCTCGATCTAAGGATTTCATAAATGAGTTTTCTGACTTCTTGGCTTAAATCACACCAAAATATGAGCATGTTTTCATTATTGGGGACTTTAATTTGCACGTGTGCTGTCCTGAGAAGCCCTTGGTTAAGGACTTTTTAGATCTATTGGACTCATTTAATTTAACTCAGCATGTAAACTGTCCCACCCAAGAGCGTGGACATACACTGGACCTTGTTTTAACTCATGATATGACTGTTAATAATCTTGTTATTGGTGGTAATGTTTTTTCAGACCACATGTCTGTCCAGTTTGAGTTCACCCTCCCCCATCTAACTCCTAAGTCGTGCATTCCAGCACGTAGGACTCGGACCATTAACCACTTCACTGCCACACATTTCACAGATGTTTATAACTCTGAAATGATAATTCAGGCCCCGGTGTTTCTCACCACCACTGAGGAGCTGACATCCCAGTTCAACTCCGTCTGCTTAAAGACTCTGGATCATGTTGCGCTTGTTAAAACTAGAAAATCAAAACTGAGAGCAGAACCTTGGCTGAGTGACGTCACCAAGGCCGTTAGGCAGCAATGTAGGAGGGTGGAGCAAAACTGGAGGAAAGACAGGCTGCAGGTCTCTTTTCAAATACTTAAAGAGAGTTGGCACCGTTATCAGAAAGCAGTAAAAGCTGCTAAATCCAAATACTTCTCTGATATAATTACCTCAAACTCTCACAACCCAGGTCTCCTCTTCTCCACCCTAAACTCTGTTCTCCACCTCACTGAACCATCACCTCTGGAAGCCTCGACTGAGCTGTGCGACAACTTCTTACATTTCTTTTTGGGAAAAATTGCGATCACCAGGGCTCTCATTTCCCCTCCAACTCATGACCCATCCATCCCACCTCAATCTGTAGCTCCTTTTGACCATTTTGAACCCATCACTATCTTCTCTAGAGCAGGTCATGTGCAACTTGAAACCTTCTGGTTCCTCCTTTGATGTGGTCCCCCCTCGACTACTAAAGGAGGTGTTTCCAACTCTAGGTCTGTCCATTCTTGATATAGTGAACAGTAGTTTATCCACTGGCGTGGTGCCAAAATCCTTTAAACGTGCTGCCGTCCAGCCTCTCCTGAAAAAAACAAACCTTGACCCCTCAGTCGTTTCCAACTACCGGCCTGTCTCCAAACTACCATTTGTTTCTAAAGTACTGAAGAAAATAGTCGAGTCCCAGTTGAAGTGCTTCCTGGAGGATCACGCCATCTTAGAGCTTTTCCAATCTGGCTTTAAACCTCTCCACAGCACTGAAACTGCCCTGCTGAAGGTCTTTAACGACATCTTCAGATTCACAGATACCGGTGATTCTGTGCTGCTTGTCCTGTTGGACCTCACAGCCGCCTTTGACACCATCGACCATGAGATCCTCATTGCTAGGTTGGAGCAGTGGGTGGGCGTCACAGGATCAGCCCTCAATTGGTTCAGATCTTACCTCACTGACAGATCCTTTTGTGTCTCCATCAAGGATTTTAGTTCCGCAGAGCTTAAATGGGGGGTTCCGCAGGGGTCCATCCTGGGTCCCCTCCTATTCTCTTTATACCTGCTGCCGCTTGGTGCTATTTTCCGGAAACACAACATGCCCTTCCACTTCTCTGCCGATGACTGTCAAATTTACTTCCCCCTAAGACACAATGGTACATGCTCTATTCAACCGCTGCTCGACTGCCTGGCTGACATCAGGGACTGGATGGCTTTAAATTTCTTGAGTTTCAATGAAAAGAAGTCTGAAGTCATGTTGTTCCCTCCCAACGACACAATCACAAACCACTGTATTGACCTCTCCGCTCTAACCCTGTCAGAAAAACAAAGAGTCACTAATCTGTGCGTGATAACGGACCCTTCCCTGAAGCTTAACAATCATGTAAACATGATTGTTAAATCATGCTTCTTCCAACTGAGGCGACTGTCTAAACTGAAGCCCATATTGTCCAAAAAGAACCTGGAGACAGTAATACATGCATTCATTACATCTAGGCTTGATTACTGCAATTCACTCCTCTTTGGTATCAGTCAGACCTCCATTGCGCGACTACAACTGGTCCAGAATGCAGCAGCCCGATTTTTAACCAGTACAGGCAAAAGAGAGCACATTACACCAGTTTTGGCCTCACTGCACTGGTTACCAGTTCACCTTAGAATCCAGTTCATAAAACTCATGTATGTCTACAAGTCACTGAACAGTTTCGCCCCCCCCCCCCCCCCCATCTCTCTGATCTGCTACAATCATACGTCCCACCACGTTCGTTCCCTGAGGTCAGCGGACCAGTTGCTCCTCACAGTTCCAGGAACTCATCTTAAGCGCAGAGGTGACAGGGCCTTCTCTGTAGCAGGACCAAGACTCTGGAATGAGTTACCTCTGCTTGTCAGACAGGCCCCCTCCCTCTCGGTTTTCAAGTCCCGCTTAAAAACTCACTACTATTCAGTAGCTTTCAACACAAGATGATCTGTGTTTTGATCCTGTACGCTCCACACTGGTTTGTCGTCATTATCTGCATAATTTTTATGTCTATATTCTGATTTACCTCATTTTGTATTTTGCTTTGTGTGTTACCTGTTGTTTTGTCTGTACAGCACTTTGGTTGGCCTTGTAGCTGTTTTAAGTGCTTTATAAATAAAGTGGTATGGTATGGTATCTGTGTTTTGAATCTGGCTTTAGATAGATGTAAATAGATTTACACTACAGGAAATGATGATTTGATCTCTTTTTTTCTTATATTTTTATTAGAGCCAGTCAGACAAATTACAATGTATAACTCTTATTGTACATATTTACTTATTATTACACATAACAATATAATACTGACAGATTAGTGCCTATATAAAAAGACAAAGAAAAAGAAATGCAATACAAACAGGGCTAAAGCTGGTATATTGTATTATTTGTTAACAAAAGAAAATGGACAACAAAAGAAAATAAACAACAAAATAAAACGAAAAAAGAACAAACCAAAACCCCCTTCCCATCTCAGCTCAACGAGGTCACTACACACACAAACAAAAAGAAACAACCAAATCGGACATATATACACCCATATTCACAGTCAAAACAAAAGACCATAATGACAAAAAATCATAACGACAGACACCATCAGTTGGGCGAAACCTCCAAGTTTGAGAAATAGGAAAGAAAACACTATCACTGGGTCCATGACACAATTAAAGTCACCCCCCAAAATTAGCAAATGACAATTCAAAAACAGAAGGTTGCTCAATAGTCTATTTGCAAACTCTGCATCATCAAAATTTGGAGCATATATGTTGGCCAAAATAACCTTTCTTTGCATTAACATACCAGCAACTATCACATACCTACCATATTTATCAGCTATAACATCAGTGGGCGAAAATTATATTGTTCTATTTCGTATAGGCTTCACCCTTTAAGGCTATCGCTAGTGGGTTTATTTCCGTCGCGCACAGCACTGAAAACTTTAGTCCACGCCCTCTGGCTGTGTGGGCCCCACCCCCTATCCATATATATTATGGTAAGACCGGGCAGTCTGCTCCCATTTTTTCTTTAGCCAGCTAGCTAGCACTGTCAGAAGAACAAAGAAGGAAAAGATGTCCAGCTTTGACTGGCACAACCTTTGCTAAGGATGCCTGGGTCTCCACCACGCCAACCTCCTGCTGTCCCGGTGAGCCCTTCCTTCCCGAGGAGAAGCAGAGACGAGCAGCCTTGTTCAAGGTAAGTGCCAAGGAGTGTTTTTACGTGGCGAGCTGCTACCCGTTAGACGACGCCATCGCCTTTTCTAACGTTTTTTCCTCGCGATGAATCGGATGATTCCCTCGAAAAATGCGATGTTAGCAGCAGCTCCATTGAGTGTTTTTCTGTGGAGGGCCGCTACTCACTGGATGACGCCACCACATTTACTAATGGGTTTTCTTCA